TGCTTGCTTGCTTGCTTGCTTGCTTGCTTGCTTGCTTGCTTGCTTGCGACAGAGTTTGAGACAGATGTAGCCCTGGCTGTCCTGGAATTCACTGTGTAGATAAGGCTGTCCTGGAACTCACCTGCTTCTGTCTTATGAATAAGTTGACTAGGTCGGGAGGAATGTTTTTCAGGCTCGGGAGGCATGTTGTCCCGTTTAGCATAGAGTATGATAGAGCCTCTTCCTGGGCTTCTACCAACAATTTGATAGGTTTTGAAATGTTCGTGTGACTGTAGAGTTGTGAGCCCTGAACAATGTGGGTGTGTTTTGATAGACGCATTGTTGAACAGTTTTGTTGTGTGAACATGGTAACATACTATCAATCTAGATGATGCAGGTCAGTCACCCTGGGGGGCCTCTTGATGTAGGCATGAGACAAGTGAGCAGGAGGTGTCTGAAGCTGTCGCCAGGATGAATCAGCATACTTAAAAAAAAAATAAGAGTGGGAAGCCTATAAGCCAAAGTAATGTAGGTGCATGAACTAAGGCCAGTCATGCATTATTCCCATGCACAGACCTGCCTTATACTTAACACAACTGGCAATGCAGGCTTATATACCCCAGCTTTACCACAGACACATGAATGGTGAGTTGTGCTGCAGCGTTACAACACACTGCGAGGCGACAGAAACATTTCATCTTCATTACATTTCTGGGACAATAGGCAAATGACTGGATAGTCCACAAATACATGTGTAATTTTATATGTATATGAATATGTTCATTAGTTATAAAACGTGACACAAAGATATCTAATTTTCATCTGAATTTTTAAATACGAGGTGACAAATATTAAATTGATATTTAGAATTTTGTATATTTCTTCATCATTGTAGTCAATTATTTTTTAGTTAAAAGGGTTTACATTTATTTTTGTTTATTATAGCTAATAAAATATTGATCTTATGCTATCATACGTTAAAATGTATTTTCTCTAGTATAAGAGAAGATTGGTTTAAAAAGGAGAAAATGACTGTGTATAATTCTAAATTGAAGAGGACTGTGGGGACCCTGGTGAAAGGTAACTGACCTCTCTGTCTCTAGGTTTTCTTTCTACCATTAAGTAACATCATCCTCAGCTGCTTTAAAGACAACTCCATCTTTGCCTGGGAATGTGATACTCTGCTTTGCAAGTACCAATTGCCAGCTCCACCTGAAGGTTCTAGCATGTTATACAAAGTATTTGCTGTGACCAGGTAGGTAACGGGCATTTTTAAGAATTTTAGTTTCTGTTTAAAATTTTTTTTTCCACTCAGTATCTTGAGAAAATTTTTTTCTGATTTAGATGTGATCTGCATAACATTTATTTTCCTTTGATTTAGTTTCACTTTATTGTGTGTGCAGTTATACATGAAAATGGAGAGACACGTGAACTCCTAAGGACTCATCAGCTCTAACAGTTGTCAGCTAATTCTGGTCCTGTTTCTGTCTCTGCCTGTTCCTCTGCTGTATTGTTTAGGAACAGAGCTTACATGTATCATTTCATTGGCAAATATTTTAGTGTATATTTCTGAAAGATAAGGCTAACTTTAGAGAACATAACCATAATATTATTATAAATTTTCTATAAATTAACAAGCACTCCTTAATGTTGTCATGTAGCCATTGTTCAGATGCCAGGGGCTGGTCTAGTATCTGGTTCTATTGACTGCTGTGCTCCCATCAGGAACACAGCAAGCTTTACACAACTCATTTGGTTGCTATGTCTCAATCCTTTTTTCTTGTATACAGGCCTCATAAATTAATCAGTAACAGGAACAAGGACTTGAAGACTTAAATTCAATCCTTAGAACCCATGTTTCTTTGACCCCCATGCCCCGAGGGAGGAGCAGCCTTGTTAGGCCACAGAAGAAGACAATGTAGCCAGTCCTGATGAGACCTGATAAGCTAGGGTCAGATGGAAAGGGAGGAGGACATCCCCTATCAGTGGACTTAGAGAAGGGCATGGGAGGAGATGAAGGAGGTAGGGTGGGGTTGGGAGGGAATGAGGGAGGAGCTACAGCTGGGATACAAAGTAAATAAACTGTAATTAATGTAAAAAGATTTTTAAAAAGAACGCATGTTTGTTCATTTGTTTTTAAAAAGCTAGATGTGGTAGCTTGTTCTTGTAATCACACCACTGAGTCTGTGATGACTTTGGGTCTGTGGAGTTTGCTGGCCAGCCTACCCTAGCTGTGTGCTAAGTCCCAGACCCTAGAGAGTCCCTGTTCGCTCTCTCTCTCTCTCTCTCTCTCTCTCACACACACACACACACACACGGGAGGATGATGTGAGAACACAACTGTTTCTGCAGTCTAATCTTGCTCTGTGGTGCTGCTCAGCGTGATCCTTTGTTGCTTCCATCCTCTGTACACTGGATACCCCTGTATTTTCTGGAAAATGAGGCTTGACCTAGGTAAAGAGGAAGATGTGGTGGTTTGTGTGCTTCCATCAGGACCAGCGTAGGCCTCTATCTCTTGGGACGCTGGTGGCATTTCTAATCACCACTTACACCAACATGGTGTAAGATACTCCAACAATGGTTCCTGGACTAGTTCTCTTGTCCTTTCTTGGCTAATTAGCTCTCCTAGCTCTGTCACTCTTGGATTATAGATAGTTTTAGTTCTGCAACGCACCTCACTAACTAGTTCCTTTTCTATTGTTCCTTCACTTCTGGTTCGCTCACTGTTCACTTATGAATTAGAAACTGTAAAAGCAAGTGTTCTCTTATTGGTGCTTTGCTTACTTTGACGTAGCTTATAGAAAACAGTGGAAGGCACATTTCTTAGTTGTTTTGCTGTTATTTTTGTTTGTGCTTATTTGCATTTGTTTTGGAGACAGGATCTTACTCTATGACAGGCATACTTCAAATTCATGGCAGCCCTCCTTCCTCAGCCTCCCTAGTGCTTCTCTTTTTTTCTAAAACCAGTTTTCAGAGATTTTTAATTCATTAGAATCTTCCAAAGATGGCCACTGAACTCTTGTTTTCATCATTAATCTTTTCAAACTCATGGGTTTACCTGGGAAGTTTAAAGCCACAGTAGTTAAGAGTTTTAGTAATGCCTGGTTCTCTCACTTTGCCGAACACTTAGTTGTCACTGTTGTGACCAATTGTTCCAGAGTGTTCCAAACCTACAATCAGCTATTTCTCTAAGGAGTGAGTTTGATGTGGTAAGAAATGATTTGAAACCCCTCATGCCAGGAGGATCCGTCAGTCTCTATAAGGCTTTCCCGGCCCAGCAGAAATACTAGGAAACGGGTTGCTTTGTTGCATATATTTACTGTTTCCTGGGACAGGGTTTCTCACTGTAGCTTTGGCTGTTCTGAAACTCACTGCGTAAACCGGGCTGGCCTCAAACTCACAGAGATCCTCCTGCCTCTGCCTCCCAAGAGCTGGGATTAAAGGTGTGCACCACCACCTGGCTAATAAATGCATCTTTTAAAAGATATATTTAAAATATAAATGCTCCTCAGCCCCTAATAACTCATCCAACAACTCTACAGCAAACAAGCTAAGTAGTGCTTTAAGGCAGTAGGTAAAATCCTAACTCTTCAGTAAGCGGAGCACCCTGCTTAGTCCCCTGGCCACATAGCATAGCTATGTGCCCAGAGTTGCCCATGGCCAGAGGCGCCCTGGTCAGCATGACTCTAGGAGCTCCCCCTCACAGGAAGCTCTGCACAGAGTGTGGCTGCATAAGCCACTCAGCTGGTCTTGCTCTCCTCACTGTTTGTTTTGCTTTTAAATGTAGAGATGGCCGAATGTTGGCTGTTGGAGGCAAATCCAATCACCTGCATTTGTGGTGCTTGGAGGCCACACAACTCTTCAGAATCATCCAGATGCCAACGAAGGTTCGAGCTGTTCGCCATCTGGAATTCCTGCCTGATAGCTTTGATGCTGGATCCAATCAGGTTAGTAACAGAAAGAGCAAGATCCGGCCTCCAGACCTGTGTCGGCTCTGTTGTTCATGCACTTCTCTCTTGCAATAACCCTTATTCTTTGGAAGTCTCACATTTACACATGTGTATTAGCCATGTCCTTCCATACAACCTGCCTCCAGTCCCCATAATTCCCGCACCTCAGCTCCATCTCAGCTCCATCTTCATCAGCTCTCATGTAACTTATGATGGCTCAACTGACTCAAATCTAAAACTGACAAATAATTGCTGCAAATAATTGTTTTAACTTTATTTTGAATTAACAGTCATAGTGGTGAATGCCGAAGTTAAATTCAATACATGCTTTATGTCGTTATATACACACGCATGCATGCAGTGTGTCAGCATATGGGTATCTTACCTGTTTATTTAAGATCTGACTTGTTCATGTGTTCTTACGGTTGGAATGGTAAAATTTACAAATAGGCATTGGTGGTGAGCCTCATCCCGTCTCCTGTTTGTGTAACGATGCACTCCCCTATGACTACTGTTGTTACCTATTACATTCCCCTCTCTACACAGCTTTACACCTTCTTTCTTCATTTGGAAATTATTCTGCAGTTATTAGTGGTATAAAACCTCCTTCTTCTTCAAGGCTTCATAATATTCATAATTTTCTTTAAGCTAACTCTCTGTTATTGGGCACTTAATCTGTTCTTAGTCCCTTTCTGTTGTAAATAGTGCTGTTATTTTCTGTTTTGTCATCACTAAAATTTTGCAATGTCATTTTTCCTGTTTGTAGGATAAAAATCCCAGAATTGTAATAGTTTCACAAAGGAATCTGTAACTAGGACAGGATCTTTGCAAATTGCCCTCAAGACAGCCTCCATCTGCGATACCTATGGAGGGCCGTGCCCTGCCAGCCAGCAGGCAAAGAACATGCTCTTCCTGTTGATACCACCAGACAACTTTTGTAAAACAGCACAACACTGGAATGTCAAAGAATCATATGAAGTTATACTTGGAGCCATTGTCCCCTAACCCACAGACAGCAAGCAAGAGGGTTTATTCATGTAATATTTTCATTACATGCTTTTACTTTTTCAAATTATATGACTTAAATTTAAATTTTTTTTCTCTCGAAGACTAGCTTCCCACCTACTCCTCTGCCATAATCTAGTATACAACCCATAGTTGCAGTCCACTCTCCAAATATCAGAGCAGCTGAAGATGGGCATAGAGTGGGGAGCTTCACCAGGACTGCATGCATTTCTTTCCTCTGGCAGCCAGTGTGCAGGTGCGGGTCACTGATCCCTGTGTCTCAGTGGAGGTGGCCCGCCTGGGGAAGCCAAGGCCTTCCACATGTGTGGTCAGAGCCAGACACATCCACACGAGCCATCGTTGGTCATTTTAAAATGTGTAATGGCTCGCTGCAAATTGAGCTGCCCTCTTAAAAGTTATATAAAATGAATACATCACTTTTAAAATATACCGACATGCTATGCATGTAAATATCTACGTATGTACACAGTCTCTATCTATATAGACTCTCCGGCTTTGGCTTTTAAATGTCAAGGCCCCATTGTTTCTGTCTCCCTAGGTTCTTGGTGTGCTAAGTCAAGACGGCATTATGAGATTTGTCAACATACAAACTTGTAAACTTCTCTTTGAAATTGGGAGCATTGAAGAAGGAATTAGCTTATCAGTAATTAGCCCACACGGTCGGTACATAGCATCTATTATGGAAAATGGAAGTCTGAACGTATATTCAGTTCAAGCTTTGACACAAGAAATAAATAAGGTATGTGAATCATCAAGTAACTGAATCTGCTCTGTGCACTGTAGTATTTCCTCTGCACCATCTCCTGACTTCACTGGGACACAGCTGTCTTTCTGGATAGAGTCCCTGCCTCTTTAGGAGCTGCATCTCTAGCTCTGACTTCTCACCATGCGTCTTCTTAGCCTGGTGCCCACCCCATTCAGTGTCACCCGTGGTCTTTAATTTCATTGTCTTCATTTCTGCTTTGCTATTTCTTATCTTGTAGTTTACAAGCCTTGGAGCTCTGTGGCCCTTTTCTTTTCTTTCTTTCTTAATCTAGGGACCCGCAAGTTATAGAATTTCTTACGTTTGAGATATGTCTCCTTCAATTTCTTTCTTCAGAGACTTGAATTTTTTTCAAACAGTCTCTACTGTCCACCTATCATCTATCTATCAACTATCTGTGTCTATCATATATCAGTTATCTATCATGTATTTGTCATCTCTCTGTTACTATCTATCAATTACCTATCATGTATCTATCCATCATCTCTGTTGCTATCTTTCTATCTATCTGTCTATTAACTCTCTAGCCATGTCTATCACCTATCAATTATCTATCATGTATTTGTCATCTCTCTGTTACCATCTATCAATCATCTCAATTACCTATCCTGTATCTATCCATCATCTTTCTGTTGCTGTCTTTCTACCTGTCTGTCTGTCTGTCTGTCTATCTATCTATCTATCTATCTATCTATCTAATATTTCTATCTACCGCCTGTTTATCGATTACCTATGATGTATTTTTCCATCAGTTCTGTTACCATCTTCTCTATTACTTTATCTGTTTTATTATTTGTTCATGATCTATCAACTGTCTTCTCATCTATCTGTCTGTTCTCTCTATCATCTGTCTCTGCTACCTCTTTTCTATCTTGGTCTTTCTTAACTAATTTCAAATTACAATAATTTAAGCAGATTTCCTAAACTCAGCCTTCATTGTCTACCCCTCCTACCAGTCCATCTTCTCCACCACATTTTTCCAAAATAATGCTTTCATAATCATTTCTTAATTAAATGTTTACTGAGTGGGTGTGTAGGCACATGTACACACATCAGAGGACAGTGCTCAGGAATGGGTTCTCTGCAGCTACATTGGGGGATTCAAGGATAGAACTCAGGTCATCAGGCCTGTGTACAGTTGTCTCTGTCCTCTGCGCCATCTCCACCTTACTGTATCATTTCTTAATATTACTTGGTGGCTTTCTTCTTGTTGCATTCATTCCACACTCATTTAATACCTTTGGTCCCAGCTGAATTGAATAGGGCAAGGCTTTTATTGTTTCATCTCTCCTACTACAATCAAAGTATCTTTCATAGTCTGTTGTATAGAGTCATGAGTTTTGCGGTTTATATGTTGGGTCTTTTGTAGTGATTTTACTGTTTATACTGACCCCAAGAATGGTGCTCAAGCTCAGTCTGGTGTTCTTCAGCACAGGAAAGCAAGCTGTGTTGTACCTGAAGGGAAGACATGGATCCTAAACTCATGTAGGCCGTGTTGGTGCTCTTAGCTTGGAAGTCAATAATGTATTTCAAGTAAGGTATCTTTAAGCAGAAACACATATCAAAACAATGTATGTTTATCAGTCAGTTGATGAAATGTGAATGAGTCTCCCTGGAACTGAACTTTCTTTTGGAATCAGTGATTCTGTTTTTACTAATTCAGTACGTGAGGTAATTCAATATAATTATATACTTCAAATGACAAGAATCCTCTATGTGTTTATGTATGTGTATTTGTGAGTATGCATTTTTTTATAATATGGGATTAGAATCTGTTGTTCTTGTGTATAAATATATATATAAAAGATACAGTTATAGATACTATAGCTCTGTGCTTTTAAATATATTGGAACATGTAATCACCAGTATATTAAGTGCTCTGCTGAGGGTCTTTAGCCTCTTCCCATGATTTTCTACTACTAAGTACTAAAGGAGACAGGGTAAGGGACTATGCAAAGCTGTTCAGAGTGAGTCATAGACCTCCTCACAGTGCTGGATGCTGAGCACACAGTTTGGCAAAGGAAGGTCAGCTCCAAAGTGGACCTTCTTTTACTTTTAGGGCACATCAGCGAGTGTCTCTGTGGCTGTTGGAGCTGCACAAATATCTAGCCATGTTTCCTGTACAAATCTCAGCTTGTTTGTGTCCCTGCCTTCTGTCTTACTTGGTTATCTTGTCATCTGGTATTGTTTTAATGAAGTCAGTGAATTCTTATGTATTCATTACAGAGGTGGGTCAGACCCAGTCATAGCTCTAGCCTGGGGAAGATTGTGCTTGAAGCCACGGATAAGGCCTCAGCAGGGGAAATGACTTTAAAATAGAGGCTTTAACAAAAACTTAGAAGAATAGATTGAAATCACAGAATAAACAGTTCAGCATTGTTAAAAGCTGGCCATAATTTGGTCAGATTGTTTTGATTCCCAAGATGAAGAATTAAATCACAGAAGTGGGCACCGTACTTTGTCTTTTGAACTCAGGCTGTGTGACCTAATTTGCTCATTTCCTTTGACTAAGGAAAATCATTTTATTTCAAAAGGAGTACCAATTATGAAGAAAATGTACTAGCGAGTCATTTTAGTTCGAGTAAGCTGACTGTTGGATTTCCCGATTTGACAGCCCCCTGAAAATGAGCTCTTGGGTTCCGGGTAGTGTTGCCTGAGCTGCCTTTAACACAGTTGATGCCGTAAGGGACTGGCAGCCTTGCTGCGCAGACCACAGGCTTTGAGCTCACGCGATGCAGGGAGCCCACATCCCCTCAGAGGACCTGCACTGGAGTCCCGGGCCTGTTAGGGTGCGTTCATTCTTCTGGGCCATCCGTCTAGCCGTGCCCCCTCTGTGTCCCCATCATGTGCTGACTTCATTGTGCAAGTGGGAAGTGGTTTGTTATTGTGGCATTTTGAGCCACCTTTTGGGAATAAATTCTACTTGTTCCTGTTAACTATGTATTTATTGACTCTTTAAAGGAATTTGGCAGACATGTGCTGTGATTTATTCATCAGTAAGCATTCTGAAGCATTCTTAGACGTTTTTACTTAGATCTTATGCCTAAAACTAATTGTATATTAATCATGCTATTCATGTAAAGTTGGTGAATCATGTATGAATAGGTCTGTTGTCCAGGAATCGCCAGTGGGAAAGGTACATATAGGTACATAAATACAAGGAGCCTTTTCCTCTTTTTTCAGCCACCTCCTCCTCTATTTAAAGTGATTGAAGATTTGCCCAGTAGTTCCAGTAATCTTAAGATGAAAATAATGCCAGGAAGAGTCCAGCAGTCAGCAAGATGTAAAGAAAGCAAAATTCAAACTAGAATACTCAAGCAAGACCTGACTAGTAATTTAGAAAACAAGGAGGTAAGAGTACATTATAATTTAACTCCAGCTTACCATGACCTTGATGAGAGCCATCTTGTGACCTCTGGGCTGGTGTGTGGCCGATGATTTTTGAGGTGTGCTAATCTGAATCAAGATGTGTTACAGTAACCTGTCATGCTGGCTCACACTTGTAGTCCCAGCACTTATGGGGTAGAGGTAGGATTGTGAGTTTGGGGTCAACCTGGGTTAACAGAGTGAGACACTGTCTCAAAACAACATATAACAAACCCTCAAGACCTGAGTTCCATCCTTGCAACCCACGTAGTAGAGAAAGCCAACTCTTGAAATTATCCTTTAATCTTCCTGTGTATTGCGGAATGTACACACACACATATTCACATTGCACATACTAAATAAATAAATGTTTTTAAAGAGTGCTGAAGTGTGAAACACATGCAGTAAGAAAGCAGGAAAACTAGACTAAAATGTCTTATTAATTGATGATTTCATATTGATTATGTGTTAAAGTGCTATTTTGATTATGTTGGGTTAAAATCACATTATGAAACTGGATTTTTTTCTGTCTCTACTTTTGTTAATGTACTTGTAAGAAGGTTTTAAATTCCATTGTGACTGTCTTTCTGTATTTCTGTCAGACAGTGCTACCACAGAAGGTTATGGGGGGGATAGGAAGCTGCTTCTACTGCTCCCTTTGGAGTCTTTCACTGTGCTCCTTGGAGGCAGCCAATAGCAGGATGGTCTTGAGGGAAAGAGTTCTAATCTGAGTGTATGCCAGCATGCATGAGTGTGTCTGTGTATGTGAGCATGTGTGTTTGCGTGCGTGCGTGCATGTTAAACTTGTTAAGATCAGAGGATGACTTTCAAATCAGTTTTTCTACTTTGGGCTTCAGGGGTCAAACTCAGGTCACTAGGCTCAGGCAGCAAGCACTTTTACCAAAGCACTGAGCCATCTTGTTGCCCTATGTTTTTTTTTCTAAAATGTTTTTTCTATTTGCTTTAATATTTTTTTTCTGCAAAGCATATATATTTATTTGAAATAGAAAGAAAATATAAATATTCATAGAAATATTTAATAGTATCTTCAAGGAACTTTTTTATTGACAATAAAATACACATGTGAAATGCACAGTAAATTTTCACTAAGTGAATGCACCCATGCTACCAGCAGCCATATCAAAGAGTGGAATGTTCCCACCCCTTTCCAAACGTTGCCTGTTGCCCACGTGATGATGCTTCTTGCTGGGCAGAATGAGTATTGGGGATTGAACCCTGAAGCACACATCCATACTAAGTATGTGTCCTGCCACACATCTTAGCCTCTTGATGTGCCATAGGTTTGTTAGTAAATACTGTCAGTTTTCCTGAGTTATTGAAGTAATTCATATTCCTAACAGCAGTGGAGAGAGTTCTAGTTATTCCATATCCTCAGCAACACTTGGTATTTTTCACATCCATTTTAATAAAGTGTTTCTATAAGCATTTAAATTACACAACTTACACGTATGAAATATGTATAAAGCAGACTACAGCTTAGTGAAAATCTGATCTCATCGGATGTTGGGTGTCATCGTGCTTGGTGCTTCGTTAGGAGGGGAATATGAAGTGAATTTCATGTGTCATGCTTATGGCTGTAGGTGAGGGTAGGAGAGAGGAAGCATGCGTGCGCCAGAGTGCAGGGCAGGGATAGGTCGTGGTGTGTTCACTTCTCTTCTGTTGTTTGAGACAGGATCTCACCTGCATCGCAGGCTGGCTCCAGACTCATGACCCTCCAGCTCAGCTCTGAGTGCTAAGATTGCAAACATGTGCACCTTGCCTGTCTGTGTGCTGTGTTCTAAAGTTTATAAGCTACTGTGAACTAGATTACCATGCTTTCAGTTGCATAATAATTGTCCCTTACTGGTATTATCTTTTTATAGAATAAATTGTCAGAAGGATTAAGTAGAAAACGTTTGCAAATCTTATTAAAAGGCTACGGGGAATATCCAACAAAATACAGGTAAACCTCAAATTCCTTCATTCTATGCTTGAGTTTGGTCTGATGGGTGTTACTGGCCCTTAAGATCTGGTTACACCTATGTTTGTTTTGTAAACCTGCCTAAGACATATCTGATTGCTTGATTAAACAACCTATACCTGGGCAGGGCAGAATGGGGTAGGTTTGGCTAAGGTTCGGCTTTGGAGGACAGAGAGGATGACAGGAGACAGACAGGCGGAAGACAGATGGACAGAAAGAGAGGAGGAAGGAGGACACCAGGATGTGTTAGCGTGGAGAAAAAAAAAAACACATGGGCCAAAAGATAGGACTCCCAATAATGGCCTGAAAAAGCCCAGATGAAAAATAAAAGCAAGTACCATGGAATTATGTATGGAAGGTAGACCAGATGAGGAGAATTAAGGCGGATGGCATTGGCTGGGGGCTGGGAGATGGATGGTGAGGATATTAAAACAGTGTAAGATAAACTTCTGCCAGCCCAAGGTAAATAAGGCAATTATAAAATTTAACAGGCATCTGAGTCTTAATATCTGTGAGAGCAGGTTAAATGCTACCACTGTGATAATCTTGGGGCTAATAATAATAAACATATAGCCCAATATCTCCATTACAATTTATTTACTACAAGAATTCTCAGTCAGTTTTTGCTCAAAAAAAAAAAAAAAGGTTTTTCTTCAAAATTAAACTTTTATTTCAGAATGTTTATTTGGCGCTCTTTACTACAACTGCCTGAAAACCATGCTACGTTTAGTAGCTTGATGGATAAGGGGACCCACGTGGCTTATCTCAACCTTCAGAGGAAATACCCCATCAAAAGTAGAAAACTGCTGCGAGTATTGCAGAGGTATGCTCAGCGCGCTTCAGCGATCCACGGGGGGCAGGAACCAAGGACTGCAGCATTTCCAAGTCCCCTTCCCATAAAGCATTGCTCAGTCATCGCTGACTGCCCTTGTCTGGTATGTAGGGTTGTTTTTAAAAGAAAATGTACACACATCATATATGGATATGAGTTTGTGTTGTGCTCCAGAAAGTCACACTCTCTCAGGTAACCCAGAGAACAAAGCAGAGTAGTAGAAAGAGCATGCACTGTGAGACAGAGGACCCAGTTTGGACTCTTTTATTTTATCATTTAATAAATTATTAAAAGAAAAAAAAAAACAACTGTGCCTTTCCTCCTCCACCCTTAATCTTTTGTCAGGAATCAGCGTTGGAGCTAGTAACCCCAACATTGTGAGATTATTGGTGTATTTGAAGACAGTGTTGCTGAGATGCATACGGCTGTGCCTAGCTGGTAAATTCTACTCCTAAGCCTAGCCTTGCGAATATGCCCATCTGCAGCCCACACACTGCATGCAGCTGAGCGTGGCTTTGAATATGACGCAACACAAAACTAAATTTTCTTAAGACACTGGAAGGTGTTTGTTTTTTTTTTGTAACTTGATCACACAGTTCTCAGGTGTGAAGTTTGTAGGTGACATCATTTCACAGGCTGAGCACAAATGTCTTTCACTGTTAGGTAAATATTTAATTTACGTTACAGGCGGGGAGACTAAGACATAGAGAGGTTGGATAATGTGATTTAGTTACATTTGTTAGAGCTGGAATTTCAGTTGGTCTCTAGAATTTAAGGCCTTTTTTCAGAGTTAATTTTTTTGAGTTTTTTTGTTGTTTTGGTTTTGGTTTTTCGAGACAGGGTTTCTCTGTGTACTCCTGGCTGTCCTGGTCTTGCTTTGTAGACCAGGCTGCCCTTGAACTCACAGAGATCTGCCTGCCTCTGCCTCCCTGAGTGCTGGGATTAGCGGAGTGCGCCACTGCACCTGGCCAGAGTAAAGTATTTATGATGAAAATGCAAATGTAGGTACAAGTAGGACACCATGAAGAATAGCCTTGTGCCCGTCCCTAACCTCCGCAGTTGCTGACTGCAGACCATCTGTTGCATTTGCCCCACCCTCTCCACATCCGCCTGTCTGCTGCCTCCCTAGACATGTGTGCACACACCATGCTAACGATTTCATGTGAGCCCCCAAGCTAGGTGCCCCTTCCGCCAACACCAGTGCACGTACTGGCATTATCACGCCATCAAGAAAGAACGCATTCTTGTCTCTCAGACCCAGTCAGCATCCTCACTATTGACTGACTCGGGAAATTTTGTGGTGAACTTGTTCAAGCCTGGATTCAAACAAGTTGTGTACATAATATTTGATCGACATCCCCCCCACCCCCCCGTCTCTTTTATTTTTACATTTTTATCTTTGACTTGGCGGCTTTGAGACTGTGTCTGTGTAGCCCAGGCCATCCCAGAACTGGATCCCTCCTGCTTCTATCTTGTGAGAACTGGGATTCCAGGCATGTGCCATACCAGGCTGCCGGAGCGGGGCCTCTCTTAATCCACAGATTCTCTTCTTTTTCCCTTGGCAATGTATTTATTGAAGACTTAGGAGTTACCTTACAGACTCGTATCAGAGTCTACATTTTGCTAGATTTTATTCTTTTATTACTGTTTGCTCTATTTCTCTTGTTCCGTAATGTTCTCTAAACTGACCATTCATGCAACGGTCATGATAAAGGTCAGGATATTAATTTTCTCCATCTTGGTGGTTCTCCGGGTAACATTACAGGTAGTTTTGTGTGCCTCTGTTAGGAGATTTTTAATCACTGCTTGTCTTTCTTTTGAAGGTGTTACCGCTCACTGATGACCATCTTCTGGACCCACTGCTTCCCAGAGATTAGCAAAACACTGACAATCTAGTTCTAATTCTGTCTAATTCCTTCTCTTTTAGTATGTGGAAAATTTCTATAAAGAAAATTTTCCTGAGGGTTGGAGAAGTGGAGCAGTTCTTAAAGCACTTGCCTTTCAGGCCAAAGGACCTGAGTTCAGTCCCCAGAACCCATAAAAATCTAGGGGCAGTGTGCATTTTTGCAGTCCCAGTGGTGGTCAGAGGGAGGCCAAGACAGGCAGCTCCTGGAAGGCGTTTGGCCAGGTAGTCTAGCGTAGCCAGTTCAGTTCCAGACTAAGAAAATACCGTCTTAAACGAAAAATGCAGAACACCTGAGGAACAACAGCTCAGTTGTCCTCTGACCTCCACACATGGTCCATGGGCTCCCTCATACACATTTACCTCCCCCACGTGAAAACATAACACACACACAAAGACCAGGTCCCTGTCACCAACTTCCAGCTACCACTAATACAGTCTGTGAAGGAAGGGCAAGATAGATGCACATACCTTTTTTCAATTTTTACCGGTTTACATAATAGTAAAGTAATTATCTTAGAATGCCCCAAATAATATGTATCCATTATAAACTCAGATTTAAACATAGGCTTGCCAGTGGACAGGGCCAGGAAAAAGTTTACAGTGATATTTCCTATCAAATTTAGGGTTAAAACTTTTTTTTATAACTTTGATTTTATATTTTAATCTTTTTGAAGACAAGAATTCTGATTTGTAAAAGCACTGATGTGCAGGTGCAGGCGTGCAGGTGTCGCTGGGATCAAACCAGGGCCTTCTGCATGTAGGCAGGCGCTGTGCTGCAGGTGCCTGCCACTTTCCTACACACACCCTGACTTCCAAACTCTGGGCCGTGTGGATAGAAAACCGTATGTTTGAAATGGGAGCACTGTAGCTCACATTGGTGTTTGGGTGGTTGGTGTTTTTGTTTGTGTTTGAGCTGGGGTCTTGTTATGTAACTCTAGCTGGCTCCGTACTTGGGAGCTTGCTCCCAGCTTGCTCTAACTGGTAGCAATCCTCCTGCCTCAGGATCTGCAAGGCATGTATCATGCCTGGCTCACATTACAATTATTGAAAGTAGTTCATATGCTTCTCAGCTTTTTCTTCTTAGACTATAACCCACAAGCATGTACAATCAAATTGTCATTTTAAAATTACTTAACCATTTCTATGCTAATGCTACAAGTTCCTTACATAGTTCAGTTAATCTGTTCTATTTATTTTCAGTGGTTTTGGCTTTGTAGTGTTTTTTTCCCCTGAGGTTGAACACAGGCCCCTGAAATGTTTGTTTGATTTAGACTTTATCTTGTTTAGTACTCTTATTCAAAGTAAGGTTTATTCAAGTCAGTCTGGTTTCTGCTCCCTCCACCCTGTTTCCACATTAGTAATCTGTCAGTGAACATTACACAATCGCGTGTGTGTTTGTTTTTCCTTATGCAGCTGTTCATAGACTCACACGTGTCTAGCCCCTGCTTTGAGGTGGGAACTGCATTCTGCATCTGATTCTGCAGCCACTGTGCTCATTGTAGCGTGATTTATTGACCGATTGCTACATTTGCGTTGTTCCCAGTCTCTTGCGCTTAAAATGTGCTTAGTTAATTTAGCTTTGCCCTTATATACTTTTAAAAAGTCGATGTACCTTAACATTTTTATTTATTGCCCTTTTGAATTTGATGAAATATCAGCCGGCGTTGACTTATTTTACTCATGTGGCCCCTACATTTACTGTGCTTGCCTGCTGTGCATAGTAAGTCTTCATAAAATAACATTATAGTTCAGATATTTTTCAGATACCCTTGATTCTTTGGTTCATGTGTGCAGAATTAAACACAGCAAGTAATTTGGGAGAAAGCCTTGTCTCCTCTGTAGCTGTGGGAGGAAGTTTAAAACAATGGGAATATTTGACTATTTTCACACATTCCTCTGCAGTCCTAACTTGCCTACTTGTGAGCAGAGTTCACATTCCTTCTGTTGATCCTATCACTGTAGGAAATCAAGAATTGGTTTTGTCAATAAATAAAAACAGTTGAGATTCGGACTTTTGTCTGATGATTAAAATGGTTGGAGAAACACTCTTATTAATTTTTTCCTACATAGCATGTGGACAGGGCACTTTCTGAAGACAGTTTCCTAAATTCTGCCTAAGGTGGTAAGAGAGTTTTCATAAAATGCATTAAGTTTGATGCATAAAGCAATTCTGTGTCTACAAATCCATTTACAATTAAAGTTACTAATTTAAGTATAATTGTATATAAATACTTCAAATTATAATCCTGATTTTTTTCTTTGTTTTTCTAATTTCCTTTCTTTGAAATGGAATCTTACTGGCTATCTCAGTGTGCCCTAGAACTTACCACATAGCTCAGGCTGGTCTCAAACTCGCCATCCTCCTGCTTCAGGCCTCATGTGCTAAGGTTAGAACACACTTGGTTTAGATTGTTTATTTTGTAATTTTAATTCAAAATTATAACTTAACAAAAGAGAATTATTGTTTTTAGCTTAATTTGATTGTTGCAGAAAGTTAAGACTTGCCTGGCTATAGATTATGCTGAAGAAACCATGTTTATTTTTAAATATTATAATGGTGTGACTAATAAAAGAAAATGTTTGTTTTTAATTTAAAATTTTAGTTTTGTTTGTTTGTTTAGAGAGAATGAGTGTGTGTGTGTGTGCCTGTCATGTGCACACATGTGGAGGTGAGGGGTCAGTCTGTGAGAGTTAATTCTCTCCTTCCTCTATATGGGTCCCGGGAATTGAGCTCAAGTTCTCAGGCTTACACGGTAGGCACACTTACCTGCCAAGCCATCTTGCCAGCACTGCCACCCCATTGCCTGCTTTTTTTTTTTTTTTTAAAGATGTATACTTAAGTATTAAAGAATAAAATGGTATGTTAATGGTTTGATTTAGAACACTGTAGTAAAAGTGGTGGAAGCAGGGTGTTATTGTCAGATACAGGCAACAGTGTGACAGGCAACTGTGCCTCTACCTTCATTGGGACATTTAAAGTGACTTAAATTTATTTTTATCTTTCAAAAAGAAGGTAGTTCTTGGTTAAGAGCACTTGCTGCTCTTCCAGGGAACCACAGTTTGGTTCCCAGCACCTGGATAAGCAAGCTCACAACCTGTTGTAACTTCAATTCCTGAGGGTATGACTCCTCCATCTGCCTCTGTATGCGCAGACACAGGCACACACAGACACATAAAATAAAGTAAACCTAGAAGTGAATGTAGTTCTTTGTAAAGTAGGTGAGGCAGTTCAGAGGTCTTACACTCTGCTCCTAAGCCGACTTGCATCAGGGGCGATGGGTTCTCTCTTCCCGCTGGCTTTCGTAGGTGTGTAATGCAGATACAAGCACACTGGTTATCTAGATTTGATTTGAGTTTTTTCTCCAAGTCTCCCTATATAGCCCACCTCTCCTAGAACTGGGTATCTCCCTGTCTTGGCTCCCAGGTAGGAGTGATTGCAGGTGTGTGTCCCTATCATACACTTAACAAAGAAACGATATATGTGTTTGTCTGTTTCTTTTTAGGCCTCTCTCCTTTAGTACATATGGATGTGCCTGATTTTGTGTGTGTTTTGCCATGGCATACATGTGAGGGTCAGAGGACAACTTGGGACATTAGGTTCCCTTCTGCATGGGGGTTGCAGGGATCAAACTGAGATTGTCAGTCTTGATGGCAAGCTCCTTTATCTGCTGAACCATCTTGCTGGCCTACCTCACTTTATAAAATGTACGTGGGGGAATAATTCTGTTTATTTAAGCTGATTATATTGTTAACAGCCATTTAGCATAGTTTACAGGTTGTTGTGTGTTTTTTTTTGTTTTGTTTTGTTTTTTGTTTTTTTTTGGCTTTACAAACAGTGGTAATATTTTTGTGTGATGATTTTGTGGAACACTCTCATACATTGGGAATTACTGGGTCAGGGTCTCTGTATATTAAATATTGTACATTGAATATGTGTTATAGACACACAGAGTTCTTGGAAAATTGTGTCAACTCTGAGGAATGTCAGGTTTGCTGGGAACCAAACTCTACTCTTAATGACAGAACCATCTTTCCAATCCTGGCCATTTTTTCAAATAGACTAAAAGTTTGACAGAAATGTGTACAAAGCAGAGTTCTCTTGAGGAACAGAGCTGATAGAATGTGTGTATACACACGCACATGCACAGATTCAGAGAGGGGATTTACTAGAATGACTTACAGGCTGTGGTCTAGTTCATCCAACAGTGGCTGTTTACCAACTGGAAGTTCAGTCCACAAGGCTGGATGTCTCAGCTGCTCTTCCAGAATCTTGAGAAAGTGGGCTCCAATGCCAGTGAAGGAGTGGATGTGTCAGCAAGAGTGAGGGCAAGCAAGCAAAGGGAACAAACTCTCTTCTTCAGTGTCTTTTATAAATGCTGTCACCAGAAGATAGGGCCCAGATTAAGGGTCGATCTTCCCATCTTCCAGATACAGTTCAAGTTGACAACCAAGAATAGCCATCACAAAATGTTAATAACACTTTCAAGAGTCTGGAGAAAACAGACATCCTTCACAATGTCAGGAGCAATGCAAATGGCTATTGAAATTACAGCTCTGTTTTCATACCTATCTGTGCAGCCACAGGAAGAAGGTGTCCATCTAATGATATTCAGCAGCATTGTTTGTAAAAGCAGAAACGTTCTAATGGCTCAGTGATAGGAGTCATATTTAAATAAGTGAGCTATTAGCACAAAGCTGTCATAGGCACCAAGAAAACAGTCTGAAGGTATTTACACTGCATATCCTGATGTAAATGTTTTAAGTATTAATTGAAAACTTTAAGGCACAGAACAATGTTTAGGTAATACCACCATTTGTGTGGGGTTGAGTTCTTTTGTTGGTGGTGACGGGGGAATTGAGCATTTTTGGGGGGGAGGAGAGATTGTGTAGCCCTGGCTGACCTAGACCTCAATATGTAGACCAGGCTGGCCTCAAACTCCCAGAAATCTGCCTGCCTCTGCCTCTCCATTGCTGGGATCAAAGGTGTGTGCTACTACCATGCCCAGCACTTCTAAAGAGATGAACTGTATGAGGACAGTCTCCACCAAATCTCAACCACTTAGACATATTTTAATGCTGCTGTCCTTTTCTGATCTTTCCTTTTTTTTTTTTTTTTTTTTTTTTATTTTTATTTCCAGAACCCTCTCTGTATTAGCTCACTGGTCTACGATCTTCGGCGAAATACCCTATCTTCCACTCTTGGCATTTCCATTTGTGAAGTTATTCCAGAACAATCAGCTCATCTGTTTTGAAGTTATTGCTACTCTCATAAGTAAGTCCTCACAACTGCAGAGTGAGACCAAGCACGGGCCTTACAAGTCTTTCTGATATCTTGGCACCTTTGCAACACTTAGGAAATCTAGATCTCATTACTTTTATAGAACAAAAAATAGATATGTCAGTCATTTGTAGGGAAACCTTTACAAGAAAATGCAGAGAGTTGTCTTTTTTAGACAGTATTGATGCAGGCTGGGTTCAGTTAGAAAGAATCTCATCTTGCACTTAGTGGGGCTTGATGGCTTTTTGTAGAACTGCTGTGGGGCTGCGCTCGCCGCACACAGTGCCTGCCATTTAGTGCCCAGGTGCTGGCTGCTGCCCTCATCGCCACCATCTGAGGTCACAGAAGCAAGCAATGTGTGTGACATGTGGTTCTCAGTGTTCGCCTCTGTTCGCTCACTTTACCTTCGGAAGTACCCTGTGCAGTAGAAGGGATTATCCCCACGTACAGACAAGACCGAGGCACAGAGAACCCACGTTCTGTTCGTTCGGTCAGGGCAGTCTGCTCCTGGTCACTCACTGTGTGCTGAAAGTCCCTCTAAGAGCAGCAGTTCAGAGCCGTTGACATCTTTGCCAGATTTGACTTCTGGCTTAATTATTAGCTCAAATCTAACTGTACAGTAATAAATGAAATCCTAGCCCTCATAAACTGCATAATATCTACTAATGAAACTTCTGTTGCCAACTTGAGAAAGGAGGTCGTGACAGTGAGGAAGCCAGCTTTTCCTGTTGCTGTGACAAATACCTGACTACAGCAACTTAAGGGAAGGCATTTGACTTCCCGGATCATGGTCCATCTCGGGAGGAGAGTCATGGCAGAGAGGAGTGAGAGGCAGCCAGTCATACTGTATCCACAGGCAGGCAGCAAGAAATACTCACCTGTTCCATCAAGAGCCCTGTCTGTGGAACAGAGCTACTACTTTGGCAAATTTTCTTTATCTCTAAGCAGGGCAGTTGTTGAAATTGTATCAGTTAAAACACACACACACACACACACACACACACACACACACACACACACACACTTCCAAACTATTCCTAATCCAACATGTTGGACTCTCTGGTTCCTGCTAACTCCTGGATAACAAAGGGATTTTCTTAGAAAAGGCTGTGTGTTGTGGTTCACCCTCATGGTCAGCTTGAGCAGACTTAAAATCATCTAGGAGACAAACTTCTGGGCATGTCTGTGAGGACATTTCCAGGGAGGTTTAAATGATGAGAAAGGCCACCATCAATGTGGAGTTTTGGAACTTTATGCTTTAGCAATTAAAAAATTACATTAACTCTTCTTTATTCATGAGCATATTGAGGAGAAAAAAAAATAAAGAATTCACTGGGACTGGTGGTACAGGCCTGTGATCCCAACCAAGCCAGAGGCTGAGCTAGGTAGACCACAAGTTCAAGGCTTGGCGTAGAACTTATAACTGACGAAGTGAATAAATGAATAAATAGGCTGGGGATATAGCTTAGTGCTGGGCATTGCTTTGCATGTACAGGGCCCTTACGTATAACCACGGTACTAGAGATAAAAAGTCTCGGTGTAGTTGTCTATAATTCAACACTAGGTAGGCTGCCATGGGAAGATCAGAAGTTTGAGACTAGCCTGGGAATATGAATATATATAAAAACAGTGAGACTGAAGAAAATCCTTTTATAATGCATAAAAGTATTTAAAGGCAGTTTTCTGATTTGTTTTTTTTTGTTTTTTTTTTTTTTGTAGTCAATTGGTGTCAACATTGGTTTGAGTACTTTCCTAATCCTCCCATCAATATTCTTAGTATGATAGAAAATGTTTTGGCATTTCGTGACAAGGAACTACTGCAGCATTTTATAGATCGTAACATAACTTCTCAGGTAAGAAATTGAAGGGCTTTAGAGTGACATTGTTTCTTTTGAGAGTTAAGAATGTTTCTGGTATGGATAAAACAGTATTTCCCGGGGCTGAGGGTGTAGCTTGGTGGAAAAGCAGTTGCCTTGCATGTACTGTGGCCCAAGGTTCAGTCCCCACTACTGCCAAATAATAAAGTCATCAGAAAAAAGTTAAAAAACAAAACAAAACAGTATTTCCCCAGTGAATAATAAAAATATATTCTACTTTGTAATTTTTCAAATTTTTTAATTTTTTTAGTTTATTATACACATGTATATGCATATTTATGTATGAATATGTATGTATGTATCTGTACACATTTGTGGGCATGTGTGCAGGGCAAGGCTTATACTCAGGTCATCTAGCTTGATGGCAAAAAGCTGTGCCTGCCTCACACTGTATTTTTAACAATTTGCATTCTTCTTTATTAAGTTACCTTCCTGAAAGTCTATGAAGAGAATCCAAATAGGAGCTGAGGATGTAGTTTAGTGGTAGAGCATGTATGTGTCTTGTGTTCAGTCTCTAGCCTGAGGGGAAGCAGAGGCATTGCCCAAATTAATCTAGTTCACTTCATAATTATGTATGGAATATAATTACTGCATAGCTTAACTCACCGATGACTTTTTGACTCTTACTTAAAATACTGATATTGGTATGCACCATTTCTTGTTTGCTTTAGCTATATGCCTGGCCTCTCCTGGAAACTGTGTTCTCAGAAGTGCTAACGAGAGAGGAGTGGCTCAGACTCTTTGATAATGTCTTCTCCAATCACCCTTCCTTCCTGCTGCTGACCGTGGTGGCCTACAACACCTGTTCTAGAGTGCCCTTGCTCAGCTGCACTCTTAAGGATGACTTTGAGGTAAATGCCATCCACAGGAGAAGGGTCTCCAGGCTGGAAGGATAGTCAGTGGTGGCGTGCTTGCCTAGCACATGAGGCCCTGGGTTCCATTCCATTACCCTAACAAACCCCAAACAAGACCTCTCAGAGATCACTTGTTTACTCCAAGAAGCACATTCCTCGGCTAAGAACCTGCTAGTTCTTGAGATTGTGATTGGCCTTGTGATTGGCCAGTTTAATATTTTTGAGACAGGGGTCTTGTTATGACCTGGTAGCCCAGGATAGCTTCAAACGCACGCTGTAGCCCAGGTCAGCCCACAACTCATGGCAGTCCTGCCTTTGCTTCCCAAATGCTAGAATTACACGTGTGTGACCTATGGTATCAGCACTAGGAAGGCTGAGGCAGGAGGATCCCAAGTTTAAGGCCAGTCTGGGCTTTGTTGCAAATTCCAGGATAGCTTAAGCTGTTACACAGTGACAAGAAAAGCTCTGTAACTGGGCCCCACAGAGCCTCTTCCCCTCTCTGTGCTCCCAGGACTCTGGCTTCATAGCTCAGGCCTCACCTTAGGTAGTGTTCCCACACTTCCTCATGATCAATTGTTCTGTGTCCCTTGGCCCTTGATTGTATGTCTCTGCAACTCATATGTCCTCATTTTTACTGCTTCTTCTGGGTATCTAATAGTGTATTTTGCTGGGTAAACCTTGATTTAAACATCAAGTTTTCTTACAGTATTTTTTTCACCATCGGAATAACCTGGACATAAAAGTTGTAATTAGAGAAGTTTATCATCTGATGGAGACCACACCTGCTGATATTCATCCAAATAGCATGCTGGATGCTTTTGCTGCATTAACAAAAGGGCAATATCCCATATTTAATCAATATCCAAAGTTTATTGTGGACTATCAGACACAGGAACGAGAAAGGATAAGGAATGATGAACTGGATTTCTTGAGAGAGAGGTAATCATGGAATACTAATTCTTCAGAAAAATGAGACATTATAAATAAGAAAGGCCCAGCCACCACATGGTGGCTCACAACCGTCTATAATTCTAAATCTAAATAAATAAACTATACATAAGAAAGTTTTTTTTCTTAATTATTTTTATTCATGTATCTGTATGTTTTCATGCTTGGGCTTATGTGCACCATGTGTGTACAGGTGTCCATGGAGGCCAGAGGATGTCAGGTCACCTGGAGTTACAAGTAGTTATGAGCAGAAATGGGTGCTAGGAATCAAGCCTCATCCACACATGACCTTAATCTCAGGTTTCTCTCCAAACCCAAGGAAAATTTTTAATGAGAAAAAATTTGAATTAAAAAGTACTTTATAAAATCCACATTTGAAGGCTTGAGATATCTTTAAAGATGCCTAATTTCTTGTATATCTAGAAATAAAACCATATATTGAAATTTCACCAGGCCTTAGATTTTTATATCTTAGTTGTCTTGAACTAC